AAACCCAAGCCGGTAAATGTCGGTTTTCGATATACGGAAGTCTGAAAACGACCGCCGGATTTTGTGATTTTGCAATCGAGAAACGACAAGCAATTGTTGGATTCTAATTCCATAGTGAATTTGATTGAAGGATGTTTGAGGTTTAGATAATCAAAGAAGAGGCGCGCATGAGAGGGATGCTTGAAGATCAGAAATGGGTCATCAATATACCTATTATAAAAAATCGGTTTAAAATCAATGGGACAATCGGCCAACCGTATTTCGTAATTGCTAATCGTTCATCGTGAGACTTGCCCTCTAAGCCGCGAATTATCTGTTTAGCACGGCTCCGAACACTCTAGACTGCTTTCTCCTCTTTTTCAACTTTCGGCATTTCAATATGTTTAAAAATCCTATGCCGAAATAATTCCAATTAACAAAGATGACACTCCAATAAAAAATCAGTTTCATTCTACATTTGAGCCATGTGAGGTTTACTTCTCGTGTATCCCTCCTGCTTGACCTAATATATCGTGTCCGGCAGCCTCACTCCGGCTATCCGTATCCAGAAAGTTTGCTAATTTAAACGGCGAAGCGAATGCACGATTTCAGGCCGTAACATCTGTCATTTATAACAGTTTAATGATCAATATCGTTATATTTCGTTTTCCGTGTGATCAATTACATGATAATGAAGCCTGAATAATTAAATTTGTTTCGAGGTAATGCGTTTTCCCGAATTTCTCATGAGAATGCAAGATTCCACCCATTACGTAATGAAAAAATGGTAACATTCAAGACTTATTCAGTGAGCATCTTTTAATTGCCATGTTTTAAATAACTAAGTTTCATCATGTCATCATCCATTGCAGGTAGAAGCTTCCATCGAATGTTGATGCGTCAATACAATCGAGAATTGCCTTGCGTTCGTAGAAGTGTTTAGGTTGGTTGCCATGGAGATGCCAACACCGAGTGCATTCTGGGCCAGCAGACTGCTGGAACTTTTGGCAGTGGTGCTGGTATAGCGGCTGGAGGACAGTTTTAACGAGATTTTTCTCACTAGTTTATGTCGCACGACATTTTTCCATAAGTTTAATTTGCTTGTTTATCTACTATAAAACAAAAATTTTAAGTGGTGTATCAATCTCGCTGAAAATCTTTCGTAAATTGTATTTGCCCTTGTAGACATTGTTATGAATCGGAAAATCTGATTCTTATTAACTTCCAACATAATACATTTTTAGTGTTTTTTCTCCGTTATCGATGCCTATTTGTTTTGGGTTGATAATTACAACTCACACTCTTGGGACGTGCGAATGCTTGGACATGTTAGTGTGTCATGGACATCGGTGATCGACCCACTAGCGGATTAACTGGAACGACTATCTATAAACTTGCATGCCTTCATAAAAATCAGGTTTGATGATTATTAATGATGAGACTTGGATAACATAGAGTGGGGGAGCTTTAATAGAACGCAGTGTTTTACTCGTAGTAGAAGGTACATTTGCTCTGGAATTCGTTAGTGTTATCAATATCTGCGTCTTATTTTCAACAACATAGTACAAACATTACTGCTTAATGCTTATCTCCATTCCCCCTGTTTCGACAGTTCTTCTATCATCGCGTATAGTCTGAGTTGTAATATTTGAACTTAAGAAGCTCAATAAATCTAAGTGTACTATTTACAAGAGGATTTAATTATCCTGCCACCGCCATGGATACGGCGGACGTGCGGAAGAAGTTCATTTTGGCCACGATAGGTGAGTAAGAAAGCGAGACTCACGCTTCTATAATTAAATATTTGAATTGACGGATATATAAAATACGGTCATATGTGAGTGAATAGCGATAAAAAAATCTTAAAAGGGATAACGATGGATAGATTTCCTAAATTCTAGAAATGATCCTAGCGTATTTGTCTCTCAGGCAATTTTTTCGAGCTGCCTTTGGACGACCCGCGGCTCGCAATGGTGGCGGACGACGCGAGCCTCAACGAGATGCTGGACAGCGGCGCGTGTCCGCTGCTGGCCGCCTACCTCCCGCCCGCCGAGGACAGACTTGTCCTCTCTAATAAGGTGGACAACAATAACAAACCGACGCCCTCTCTAATTAGGGGGACAACAATAACAAACCGACGCCGTTTGTTTGAAACAACATAATTGCCGGCTCTTTAGTATCGTTCTGTTGCCTCTACAAAAATAACAGACATTTTTATAGACATTCACCAGTGAGGAAATTCCTAGATCACTTTGGCTATGTACTCTTGCATGTACAGATGTTCGCGATTTTAGGCCTGATTAAAATAAATAAAGTTTTATTAACTGAACGATCGATCGTTTGTTATCGCACCACGATTTTCTAGCCATTTCTATGTATGTAAGAAACTATTGTCGCTTTAGCTACCGTGTGTATTAGTTACTATTATCGATCCTCTCAACACCTCAATATCACCGTAGGTATAAGTGATGAATTTTTTGGCAGCATATCTCCAGACACGAATTCTTGTGTGAATGAGTTCCCCGATAGCAAAAAAACTGACGCTCACGCCTGGACCACATAAATGTTTTTTTTACAGTACGTTTGATGTTAGGTTGACCGACCGTGCAGCGTGCATTTCCACATTTTTAATGGTAGGGTCTACGGGAAGAGAATAGAAATGTGTATGATCATTAATATAAGTCTCTAATGTTTAGGTAAACTCGTCCGCGGGAGGAGAACAGGTGCTGGTGTTCTTCAAGACCCAGCCGACCGTCATCACTGACAACAACTACCATCAGACGCTGCTCGTGTCGTCCATGCTCGACTCTCCCGTCTCCTCCCTCTACCACGCCCTGCAGACGCTCTACGCCCCCATGCTGCTGCAGGTAGCGTCCTACACCCCCATGCTGCTGCAGGTAGCGTCCTACACCCCCATGCTGCTGCAGGTAGCATCCTACGCCCCCATGCTCCTGCAGGTAGCGTTCAATGCGCCGATGCAGCTGCCCGCTGTGCATGAGTTTCCATCCAGCGTAAGGAAATGTCATACGTTTTCAAACATCATCGCTCTGCACGTCATTGGAAAACATCCTTACGGCCACATGAATATTTGGGTAGAGTACTACAACCGAACTCTGCTGGTGACGGTGCCGAAATCGTCACTCGCAAGCGTTCTCGTTGAAATTGGATGTTTGCAATTGTTATTTGTTGCATTGAGTTTTGGTTTAAATTGGCTTCAACATTTCGAGCGAATTTCTCGTCTGTAAATCATTTTTAATTTCAACACACATTTTTTTCTTAAATGACAAGCAATTTAAGTCAGTTTGTTAGTGTCACTATGCACAGGACACCTCGGCATCTCGAGAGCTGGACCCAAAGCTGCAGAAGTTGGTGACGGAGCTCTCGGAGGGCCTGGGCAGCCTTGTCAGGCGGTCCTCCTCTGCTGCTGGGGATGACACTCAAACCACCACATCCCTGGCGGGTAATCATCGATATATCAACTCAATTTAAAATGCTTACTAGTATATTTTCTCTTGCAATATCGAAATACATGTCAAGTGTCGGCTCTTACTTTTTTTGCAAGCAGTCCTCGGTGGTGATTCATTAACCCTTCAGAACTTGGATTGGAACCACTTTCTTTCCCTAGAAATGGTAACAACCGAACATTCTTGCCTAGGACCGCATGTTTGTTTATTTGTCGCTTTACTGGCAGGAATTCTGTCAGTAAAGGACGAGCGACAATACTGGAACGACTTGAGCAGCAAGGCCAGGAGCCGACAGGAGAAGGATATGGCTAAGGAGTTCTATGAACTCCTGGAGCCTCTCGAGCGGGACTTCAGGTGAGTGGTGATGCGGGACTTCAGGTGAGTGGTGATGCGGGACTTTTTCCTTACTAGCATTATTGCTGGTAGATTAATCTTAATTAATGATGATTAGTTAATCGAGTAAAGGTATCTTTTAGGTTTATGGTTAGGTCGTTCAATTAATTACTCGCGTTTGAAATATTCTGCTGACTGGTATCCGAGTAAAGTTTAGTTGATGTTTTGGATGCTCTTGAATTCATTTCACTATGTTTTTAAAATCGAAAAACTTTGAAATCTATTTAAATTCAACCTTTAAATTTAAGTAAAGCTATACAGTCTTTTCTTTTAAATTAATACTTATTGATTACTTAGTTGTTAAAGACTTAACAGAGCGTTAGTACCGGTGTGTGTTCGGTTTACTGGAGTCTGTGATGCTGGCGGAGGCAGAGGACCTAAACAGTCTTTTTAGCGCATTTTTTAAAATCAATACTCATAGATTAATTAGTTATTAAAGACTTAACGGAACGTCAGTGCCTGTGTGTGTTCAGTTTACTGGAGTCAGTGATGCTGGCGGAGGCGGAGGAGGTACTCGAGAGCTGCCAGAACGCCCTCGATGATCTCTGGCAGCAGGAGTTCCCCCAGCAGCGCATGGCACACCTCCTGCATACTGCTGCCAACCAGGTTGCCAGATACGTGCAGGTGGGCACGGCAACAGGTCGCCAGATACGTGCAGGTGGGCGCGGCAACAGGTCGCCAGATACGTGCAGGTGGGCACGGCAACAGGTCTGCACGTATACGTGCAGGTGGGAAAGATCGCTAGGTCACTGAATGTGATTTATTTTCAAAGGGAATAAATTTTAATCCAAATTTCTTTACATATCAATTTGTCGTACGATAAAAATCATTTAGAAAGATCCACAAAAATTTTAGGGGCAAGAATGAAAAACCGCGCTGGGAAAATTTTGAATAATAAATTTATGTAAGGTCTTACAGCAAAATTTACTTAGCAAAAGATGATTAGCATCTATATTGCACTAAATGCCAGTTATTTTGCAAAGTATGTACCGATATCTCCAACATTGTACAGTATTGCTGTTTCATAAGTATTTAGTTCAACAATAACTTGGGAATGACAGAGCCGTCTGGGCGAGGAGGACTTCTGGAAGGGGCCGTTCAGCCAGGTGGAGAAGAGCCTGCAGGAGGGCATGGTGGTGTGCGACGTCTGGGTCGACATGTGCCAGAAACTCACATCCATCTTCTGGAAAGCCACCGAGGTGAGTAGACTGTAACATATTGCCACTCAGGTAAAGTTATCGTTAAGGATAAATCTTACCACTTACTATTAGAACCAGAGATTAGGCTTAAAAATTAGTGTATCAGAGTAGATATGTCCTAAGTTATGCAAAACTTATACTAAACTAAACTTATTAACTTTAAATTACCTTTTAGAATCGCCGAGTTATGGCTGGAAAATTAGTGTATCAGAGTATGTCTTAACTTATGCAAAACTTATAGTAAAGTAAACTTTTTAACTTTAATTGCCTTAACTTAGCTTATTACCACTGAGTTTAGGCTGTATAATAATAATAAGTGAAAATAAGTGAAAATAATAAATATTTCTTCACTTATGCAAAACTTATATCAAACTAAACTTATTAACTTTAATTACATTTTTGTATCACAAAATGCAGGTTAAATGGGAAGGCCCTCCGCTGGTGCCAGATTATTGCAAGAGCGTCTCCGAGCGCCTCGCGCATATCCTGAGCCTGCGCATGCTACACCGTCAGCTGACGCGGCTACTCACCGTCCGGGAGCAGGAGGACCTCAAGACTGATGACGCCTTCAAGCCCTTTGCGGGGCTCAAGCCCGTCCACTACAACCCTTACACTGAGCCCTTATGGCAAGCTGCAGTACGGCAGTTTGAGAACTCACTCAAGCCCGCAGAGCAAAGGATCTCCGGCAAACTGCGGGAGCAGCTGAGCAGGATCAATTCAGGAGCCTACCAGCTCATGCAGGAGTTCAAGCGATACAAGGAGCTCATCAAGAGAGACAGCATGAAGAGGGAGCTCATAGCAGAGAGAGAAATGCTCCTCGGTCAGCTCAACGCGCACATCCAGAAAGCAAGCGCTGACTTCAGCTCGACCTCCGTGAAGGGTCCACGACGACTGCCTGATGTGCCTGAGATGGTCAGCAACATCTACTGGGTCAAGCCTCTCAAGGCCAGGATACTCGACATGAGTAAGAATAAGTATGAAGATCTAAGCTTCAGTAGAAGTGGTGTCTAGGAAGATCTAGGCTTCAGTTGAAATGGTGTTTGAATAGTTCTTTATGCATATCTAGATGGAATAAATCACCCACTTGTTTGATACTTGTCATTTGCTGTACTGTTCTATTAGTAACTCATGGCTTAGGAGCGGATGAGTCTTGACTTTCGCCAGAGGCGAAATATTCTAGATAGGTGAAATATTCTTCTAGAATTATTCGAAACTCTAACTAGATATTGTAAAATCTAGTTGCATTACGCATGATTCTATCGGTAATGCAACTAATGATTCTTACAATTCTAAGCTGGCATTAATTTTATAGAGAAAACAGCGTCTGAGCTGCTGAGTGAGCTCTCTGGGTACGACGAGCTCATCAAGAGGATAGATGATCTGTGCCAAGAGATGGACGAATATCACAACGAGCAGTTCGACACCTGGTCCAGGGAGATGCTGCAAAGAATTAAGACTCAGGAACTCAGGTCACTTCTTCTGTCTGTTTCTTCGTTCAACAAATTATTTGGCTAGGATTGTGATGCATAAATAGTTTGAGGGTGGTTACAAAACATTAACAAACATGTATTAAACATTTGTTTAATTGCATTTCGAATAGGCATCTTAGTCACATAAACATTAACAATCATACGCATAAGCTTATCAGTCGTGGTCAAGACTCGTGTTTTGCGAAGTATCGTTTGCGATGGATAGTTGCAATTCAATGTGTTATGTTGTTCAGTTTGGCGACCGAGGGTCAGGTGCTGTCTTTTGGTGCTGGTCGCCTGCTGCAGGTGAGCTACAACAGGCGACTGGTTGGGCTCATACAGGAGGTGATGCATCTCTCCCTTATGGGCAACAAGATCCACCCCGACATCGTGGCCACCGCCAAGCACGCCGAGAAGTTCTTGCGACAAGCCAAGGCACTCGAAGAGGTGCGTCTTCTACTTATTGAAAGAACGCTTGAAGTAAATGATTTAAATTTGCTACTAGAATCAATCTTTCTTCAACATATTTTTTATTTTAAAATGATTAATTTTCTTTGTGGTTGTGAGCATCAAAGTTTTAGGCGCGCATTTAAATTATGGGTAAGTTAAAATAAGAAACTCTAAAAGTTTCTTCGACTTGTGAATAAGATATGTCAAATGTTTTCGTTTCCCACTACGATGTCAAAGTGTTTGACCGGATGTTTCTACAATAAACCTCTGGCTTACTGATAGTTTTGTGGAGACTGTACAATTTACATGAACTATTGTTCAGACACAATTAATTCCCGTTGCAGATAGCAAACTTCCACAACACTATAGGAGACCAGATGATCCCCTCGCAGCGCCCCATGATGCTGGAGGCGGCGAAGGCGTTCACGGCGCTCGTGAACCAGCAGAACGGCGTCACCTGGAGCAACACGGCCGAGCTCGACGATTACATCCGCAGGCTGAAGGCCGCCACGCACAGACTTGCCAGGGAGAACAAAGAGCTCGCCAAGTGTCATCTTATGATCAAAGACCGGGTTTGTAACAGGTTATTAGGACACAATTTGTAGAGTAAGCATGCGATGTCTAAAATATGTTAGACGAGCTTTACTTACGATACTTTAAACGTACCGTACGCGCGTTCAATTGGTACAACCCGATATAAAATAATTCCTGCGGTGAAGGAAATTCATCAATGCTGTGCAGGACGATTGTGATAATTCAAATTCATTAGCCTGTACTCTGAAAATGTGGTGTCGAATACGGAATACAATGGCCGCTTGTGGCCTGCGTGACGTCGTGCTGAGCGTAATAATGACCATCGTTTGTAAAAATTTGGTTGAGGTTGTCGTTCGGACTGAATCTTGAATGACCATTTACTTATAACAATGATTTTCAAACAATATCATTTCTTTTTAATTTGTTCCTATATCTTTAATCGTTTTGATTTTAACTTTAGAGACAATCCGAAAATTTTTTAGTTGTTACATTGCACACTGTTTTTAGCATTTATTCTAAGTGACGTATGACGTCTTCCTTCTGGTACTTACTCTGTCATTGTTGTAATATTAAGATCGGTATTGGCCTTGAATAAGCTAAATCTGGCTTGTCGCCGATTCTACACATCACAGAATTGCTACGGCTTACTAAGGTTTTGATCCCGCAACTCACTGCTCCAATCTTGGTACTCTGAACTGCAACCACTGGGCCACCCTGCTCAGCCGAAATTGCATGTGCACAGTCACCATTGTAAAATTAGTGAACAACATCCAGAATTAGTACTCTTTTTGAAGAAATTAATAATTACTGTCGATATTGAAGGTGTTGACGTTAATGAACATTATTATTTTTTGATACAATTGATAATTCTTGTTGATGTTGCAGGTGTTGACGTTGATGAACATTACTATAATTCTTGTTGATACTGCAGGTGTTGACGCTGATGAACATTACTAATAATTCGTGTTGATGTTGCAGGTGTTGACGCTGATGAACATTAATATTTTTCGATACACTTGATAATTCTTGTTGATGTTGCAGGTTTTGACGTTGATGAAATTACTAATAATTCTTGTTGATGTTGCAGGTGTTGACGTTGATGAACATTACTAATAATTCTTGTTGATGTTGCAGGTGTTGACGTTGATGAACATTACTAATAATTCTTGTTGATGTTGCAGGTGTTGACGCTGATGAACACAGACCTACTGCGTCAGCAGAGCAAGTGGAAGGAGCTGCTGAAGGAGATGCGGTCGATCATGCACCAGCTGTCGGAGCGCGGCTTCAAGGACCAGAAGTCGTGGTGCGCTCACTGGGACCGGCAGCTGTACAAGGCCCTCGAGCACCAGTACCAGCTGGGCATTGAGGCTCTCAACTCCCACCTGCCGGAGATCAAGATTGAGCTCACGTACCGGTTGGTTACGTACCCTGTTATTATTATACGTGGTAATTGCTTCACTCAGTAAACAATTTAAAGAATAATTTGTATTATAAATAATATCAATTTAAATAGTAATGATGTACCAGCTGGGCATTGAGGCACTCAACTCTCACCTGCCGGAGATCAAGATTGAGCTCACGTACCGGTTGGTTACGTACCCTGTTATTATTATACGTGGTAATTGTTTCCACTGAGTAAACAATTTTCAGAATAATTTGTATTTGGAAAATTTGGCTGTTATCCAAGGTCATGAATTTGGTTCGACCTGAGTTCGTTGCCCAGTTATTATTGAACGTGTTAATTGCTTTCACTGAGTTTACAATTTCCAGAATAATTTGTGTTTGGAAAATTTGTCTGTTATACAAGTGCTCGAATTTGATCGACCTGGGTTTGTTTAAGCGGAATTTCTATGAAGATACAGAACCTGCTACGAATGTGATCGTTGGGAGTTATTCTACCTCCAAATCCAAAAACATTTCCATTTCATATCTTGCTCACTTGGTCTATCAAGATACATATTTGAGGTTTTCTTTTTCTCTAGTGAAAGATCTCATTCTTTTGTTGTTGTTTCTCTTTCTACAGACAACAGCGGCTGCAGTTTGTGCCGCCGATGGAAGAAATCAGGATGAAATATTACAGTCAACTGAAGCGCTTCCTGGCCATACCAAATGTGTTCAGGGTATGAAAATATTCTATTCATTTTCCTTGCATTCATTTATTTAAAAATAACTGTTATACATTTGTTAAAATCTTCGAGAAGTTCTTATCTTCATTCACTTTTGATATCAATCAAATTTATACGACTTTATTAATTTTCCCATAAATCAATGTACAAAACGGTAGCCTAGTGGATGCGCAGTGAATTGGAGCAGTCAGTTGCTTGTTCGACACTGAAACAAGCTGTGGATGTTCTGCGATGTTGAGAATCGGCGACAGGCCTACGAGCTAATAAACGCTGAAACCGCTATTATTGTTTTTATTATAAACCTAATTATTATTATTACTAACAAAAGTATTTGCATCTAGTTCATCATTTTCGCTTCCGTATTCCTTGTAAGCTGCATCTGAAAAATGTTCCTACACTTTTTGCTTGCGAATATGAAAACAATTTTCTTTTTAATTCATGATATTGTCATAAATTATGAATGGTTTTAACAGGGCGTAAGTGAAGTGAACGAGAACCCGATATTCCCGTTGATCATAACGCGCAACGCGCACCGCTTCGGGCCGCTGTACCAGCGCGCCAACCAACTCTTCGCGCGCCTCGAGGCCGTCAAGGACCGCTTCACGGACCTCGTCGCCCTGGGTGCTGGTGACATCGAGGAGGTCATCGAGAAGGAGTGCCACACGGCCGACGACTGGGACAGGTACCGAGCTTTTCCCGTTCTCATTTTTTTGCCATATTTAACAGGAAATTTTTTATTCTCTTAACTTGTTTCCATAACTATGTGTTCATGCAGTTATTGATAAGCTAGTTCATGTGCATTAGTGATCATTGACCAACTAGTTTGTGCGCATTAGTTATCATTAACAAAGATGTTCATGCGAATAAATGATCAACAAAGTAGTTTCTGGGAATGAATTCTCATTAAAAAGTTAGTTCATGAGCGTAAGTTTTTATTTTATTTAATATCTAATATGTATTGTATTGTGCACAGTTATCTTCTAATCTCCCAAGTCAAATTTTGCATCTGTTACAAATATCACCACTCAATTCCTAAATGTATTTGTACAGAAACTTCAAGTTATCGAAAGCAAAGGGCCAAGAAATAGGCAAGATCCCCGGCACTGAGGAGAAAATCGACTGCATGTCGCTGAGCTTCCAGCCTCTGCGTGTTGAGCTTGAGATCCTGAACCGCCGCTACTGGGACCTGCTCGCCCAGCGTCTCTCTGCCTCCGTCATCCGCGACACCAACGCCATCGAGCAGTTCGCTAATGACGCCATCGAGGTATAGTTATGCCTGCGACTTACTTCATTAACTTTATTACCTCAGGGTTATTGACCTTGTTGCTTCACGATTATTGACCTTGGTTCTCCAGGATTATATAACTTATTTCTCTAGGATGCTACTAATTATCTTTTTCTGAAATAACCAAAATCCATTTGCTTTGATCCGTTATAATCCGTTTATTTCGTATTCTATAAGATGAGATGAAAGAGCTACTAAAATTACAAGATGTCTCACGTAACTGCTTCTTGCTTTTATTGCTGAAAGATGGCATAATTTTAATAGTAACTCGATACTTTAGGATCTGCGACGTCAGCCACAAACCGTGGACGAGATAGCGGAGGCACAGCGCAAGTACGAGGCGCACGGCCGCAGGACGGAGGAGATGATGGTGCTGCTCGCCCAGGCCGAGAAGAAGAACAAGACGCTCGCCGTCTGGACCAAGGAGAGGGTCGACAAACTTGCGCTCGTCACCACACTTTGGGACAACTTCGCCTCTAGGATGGAGAACCACGAACAGATCATCACTAAGCAAGTATGGCGTTGTCGATGCCCTTTGATTTTCTTAAGACTCGTTTCTTCCAGGTAAATGTATTTTTTCCCTGATGTACTTTAGGCCATCCGGCGCCATGTAGTCGTTCGTTAGCTAGCGTTGGTTGAATAATATTTTGAATTAGTGCACGTTGAGTCGGAGACGATTAGGATTAAGTTATTAATGTCAGTGAATCAGCTCGTTTTGGATGTTAGCTCTAGTCGCTTTTCAAGTTACACTTACATTTCCAGTTGGTCCGAATAGATATGCTGATAGAAGTATTATTGCTAATTGAATTGTTCGGCTTAATGAATTTTCAGTTCAATTAGTTGTGAAAATTGTAGTTATTTAAAAGTAATTAAAATTAATTTAATTTTTCCTATAAGAAAAGCACGTGAGAATGTTAATTGCGATGGCCCTTGCCTGTCTGCGGCTTTGAAATTTTCCTGAGCGCTGACAAGTTCGGTGATGGAAAGTCCCACAAACGGAATAGCAGTTTAATGCTGCACTGCAACGCGCATAAGCAACACCAGTTTGAAGTTGAAAAATCAGACAAGATCTAAGGCGCAATAAGCTGAATAAACTGCTAAAGAATAAAAAAATATAATTACAGGAATTGCTCTTTAATTTCTTGCGGACGCAGCCACCTTTTAGCGCATTTTCTCATTTATGAAAAAATGCACTATTGTGCTCGCCATGTCCGTCTGTCCGTCCGTCCGTTTGTCTGTCTGTCCGTCCGTGACTTCACGTTTTCGTCGACGAGAAAATGCGCTCTCTGTCACTCACTGCAGTGAGTACTGACTGCTGAGTTATATTTTTTCGTATGGTCTTCGTAGTTAGACGTGCAGTGTTCATTTGTTTCGCTGTCGGCAGGTGGAGTCGATCAAGAACAATCTAGAGTCTCAAGTGAACAATTTCAACGACGAGATCGCCAAGTTCGGCGCGCGCTGGAAGCAGTTCAGGCCCTCAGAAGACCAGATGGACGGAGACTCGGCAAAAGTCGAGGCCGCAATCGCCAAGATTAAAGAGAAGCGAGAGGAGTGGGACATTTTGATGGAAACGCGCGACGCTCTCAGGTTCTATTATCAAACTTAATATAGAAACTTACAGACTTAATAAAATCCTAATCAAACTTAATATTTGTTCGATATATCAATTTCGATTTCTGGGCATAGTATACATTGAATGCATTTATAAATCCCATCGTGCAATGTGTTGTGCACAACCTCACTGAAATGTTTTAAATTATTGCCTTCTAAATGATAGATTATAAATGTATTCATTGTTTTGAATTTGTAAGTTCGTTAAATTTCTCTCTATTCTACATTATAATGGTATATTATCATGAAATTAGTTTGGCAGATGACGCAATAAATCGCAGTCAAGTAACATAACCAAGGATCTAATTCGCTGCTAACGTCTGCAGACGCTATCAACATTATAATAATTATATCATCATGAAGTTAGTTTGGCAGATGGCGCAATAAATCATTGTCAGTGACATAACCTAGTTTATAATTGGGCCTTCAGACGCGACTACGAGCATTTCTCGCTGCCAGAGCCGCACTTCCAGGAGCTGGACGAGATCGAGAGCGACCTGCAGAAGCACGAGCAGGTGTGGGGGCAGTTCGACGAGTTCCGCAGCAGCATGCAGGACTTCAACAACCAGGAGTGGATTGTCTTCAGGAGCAAGACGTACAAATTCGACGAGTTCCTCGCACAGTGGAGTGAGTTTCATTTTAGCCGACTGTGCGTTTATACTCGATCAAATAAATATTCAACTGAAGAGTTATTTGGTGATTCTCGTGAATGATTGCAGCTAACCGGTGATAAATTTAAACTTATTGTAAACTTATTACACAAACTTATTGTGTATCATTACTGTTATTTATAAACGTAAACTTATTATACATATTATTGTCTAATATTTAATTATATATATTGAATTTGAACTAAGAAATTTGAATTTTCGAGTAATTTGCGAAGCGATCACACGCTCAATAATGTCGAATGACGTTCCACATGTAAATAATATGATGAAAATGGCATTGGAATTTCTTGATGAAACATGCAAATAGAAAAATAATGTTTGGACTTTTTTGATGAAACATGCCTATAGAAAAATAATGTTAACACTGCCTTGCATTCTCGTGCCTGTGCATGCAGACGAGAAGCTGCAGAGGTCAGGCGAGGCGAGCATGGTGCGCGTACGCCTGCTACAGGAGCTCGAGAAGTACCAGGCCGTGCTACCTGTACTCAAGTACGCCCGCGGCGAGGTCTTCTCTGAGAAGCACTGGATGGAGATGTACACGATGATTGGCATCCCGCAGTCTATTCCTGTCGAGCGACTCACTTTTGGTGATGTTATCAAGGTGATAAATATCTTCATAGTCTTAAAAAATTTATATAAGATCTCGAATCGTCAAATTTATTTCGTGCTCTGAGTGGTTCAGTTCGACCTGAAATGATTCAAGCGTCTGGTAGCTCCAAGGGGTCAACATTTCGGATGCATTAACAAATATTATACAACAATTTTTCTACATTTTATGAATTTGTCATCAATATATTATATTTGAAATTATTCATTTTAGAAACGCCATCATAAAAATCCAATAGCATACTTCTTAATTGCTTCAAATTATCTGGCTATTTAATACTTCTTATTGCCATTTGATACTTGTTATTATTTGTCGTGCAATTATCAATGCACCCAATGAATATTTCATTTCTTCACTGAAATATTTTAATCTTCTGATTAATACTTGCGAATCATTTCAAAAAAGATCATTTTGATGTCTAACGTGAATTAAGTCAATTCAAAATTTAGATTTGAGGACTACCATTATAATTATTTTACACTGCACCAAAATGATTGAGGTAATATATTTTTAAATCCTAATAATCACTTTGATTATTATTATTAAATCAGTGCCGGGACGCGTTGGTGGTGCACGCGGAGGCGCTGAAGGAGCTGAACAGCAGGGCGGCAGGGGAGGTGGTCGTGAGACAGGCGCTGGCAGAGCTCGACCTGTGGGAGGTCGAGGCGAGGTTTGCCCTCACCCAGCACACCGACACAAAGGGCGACCTCGTCTCTCTTATTAAGGAGTGGAAGGATATCATCAATAAGGTAATTACTCAGTAATATTATTATTAATTTTCCGAGTAGGTCGTCTCACTTATCAAGGAGTGGAAGGATATCTTCAATAAGGTAATTACTCAGTAATATTATTGAGTAATTTTCCTAGTACGTCGTCTCACTTATGAAGGAGTGGAAGGATATCATCAATAAAGTAATTGCTAAGTAATATTATAGAGTAATTTTACTTGTACGACGTCTATGTTTGGGGTACTTAGTTATATTTATGGACGGAGTAATTCTGTGAATGGCAGCGTACATTTCATGTGTGAAATTTCAAGAAACCAATTTTTGGGAATTGTTCGCTGGCAAATAGAATAGGAGTTTATTCAGATCTTGAAAGTTATGCGCAATAATGTGCATTCTTGCATTACTGGTCACTTTGTGCCCTCTTCAATCAGAAACGAAGTTGGTGATAATCTGGTTGTCGGGTAAGGTAAGAATAATTAAAGATTATTTCGTCGCGTGATACTTTGAGCAGGAAATTAACCCAGCCTTGTCCAGGTGGGCGACCACCAGTCTCTGCTGCAGAGCCTCAAAGATTCTTCGTACTTCGGGGGCTACGCAGACCGAGCGAGGGTCTGGGAGCAGAGGCTCGCAGACCTCGACGAATTCCTGGCCGGACTGAACCTCATCCAGGTAAACCGCTGGCGCTTAACTTCAACAGTTTGCTACATTTTCAGATTTATAATAATTTTATAGAATATTTTTAAAATAGATAATTTATATGCATATTATTTATAGGTATGAATATTTATGAATATGTAAGTATATATGAATACTTACATTTTGAATGGATAATTTGCATACATGCACACCCGATGCTGCAATCATGACTTCTTTCTCTCTTTGCATGCCATATTATTTTTATTTTTAGATTTATTGATACGTTTAATGAATTCAACAAAGGACCAGAGCTATCATCAACAAATGTACCTACTTTGTTATTCTAAATGCCTTATTTAGTGAATTGAGAATAAGTAGATGCAGTACGGGCTAGTGGGTCAACATTGACTGCTTGTTTTGACACGCAGCGCAAGTGGGTATACTTGGAGCCAATCTTCGGTCGGGGGGCGCTGCCCCAGGAGCAGGGGCGGTTCCGTCAGGTGGACGCTGACTTCAAGGCCATCATGGCGGACGTGACGCGCGACAACCGCGTCACCGCCCTCTGCAGGATCAAGGGCATCCGCTCCATCCTCACCACGCTACAGGACCAGCTCGCTAGGTTACGATCATGTGCTTATAGCTATGAAAAATATAACTCAGTACTCACTGCAGTGAGTCACAGAGAGCGCATTTTCTCGCCGACGAAAACGTGAAGTCACGGACGGACGGACAGACAGACAGACGGACGGACGGACAGACGGACATGGCGAGCACAATAGTGCATTTTTTCCATAAATGAGAAAATGCGCTACAAATGCAGGAAATTTTGTTAAGAATTCGTTGAATCTTGTCGAAGCCCTCGATTATGAATAATATTCAACCATAGTCCGTAATTGCAAATAATGAGCGACTTCTCTTCCCTCAACAGATGCCAGAAAAGTTTGAACGAGTTTTTGGAAGAGAAAAGGTCTGCCTTCCCTCGCTTCTATTTCATTGGTGACGACGACTTGCTGGAGATACTGGGGCAAGCGACCAACGCCGAGGTCATCCAGGTACAGATACCTTCTCAGAGACCGGTCAGGTACAGATACCTTCTCAGAGACCGGTCAGGTGCAGATACAAATATTATTTCTCGAGTAAGATTTGTCATTGCGCTGACACGTCGCTATCATTACATCTTGTACCTTTAATTGATTTCTAAGACACATTGTTCCTGATCTATGGAATTTGACCCGAAGGAGAATTATTTAAATTTCTAAATGATTGCATTCTGGTTGAATTCTGCGTTCTCATCTTATCATCATTCGATGATTCGACAAACCCATTTTTGCTCTTTTCCCGTTCTTTGCTGTAATATCGAATAATTCAGGTTATATGATAAAATGATAAAAATATAAATAATAATGACATGAGTGAAGCCTTTAGATAATATTTCTTCGATATTTTTCTATCCTCAGTCACATTTGAAGAAGCTCTTTGCTGGTATCCACGCCGTGAACTTTGATGAAGGAAACACAGCCATCACAGCCATGAAGAGTTTAGAGGGAGAGGTTGTTCCTCTGGATAAAACCGTGCGCATCACGGCCAATGTCGAGGTAAATGCCTCATTACAATGAAATATTATACATGCGAGGAACCACAAGGCTAAACATAGAGTGCAAACGTGCTCTTCCCATGCGCTGGGAATGGTGTTAAAGCGCGAGACATGACTGCACTTTAGCTGCAACTAAGATGACCGAGTTTTAAAAATCTGCATCGTCTGTACAATTTAGTTTTCGCGCACAGATGACAAAGTGAACTAAGCTCTGTTTGTTGAAAGTAAGACTTTTTTGTGCTGTTTAATGTAATGATACTCTGATTAGGAATGGCTGGGCGAGTTGAGCGTGCGCATGAAGAGCACTCTGAGCTCGCTGCTGCAGGAGTGTCTCAAGGATGCCGGCAACATGGACCCGCTACGGTATCCTGCGCAGGTAGGATCCTTGTCTTGCTGATATGATCGATCCCGCGTCTCAGCCTACCTGAGAAATTAATGTTAATATCCGTTACTGTACGGTAATTAAACAATAAGCTCATTTAAACATCGGTTTTCTTTCTCAAGTTTTAAGAATGTTCAATATCTTTCATTCTTTGTTCATAATTCAGAGAATAATAGTTCAGAATTTATGGTTCTTAGTAATAGATCTGAGAAAAAATAAATTAATTCTCCATGGGATTTATTGATGGTGTTCTGATTATTGATGGTTCTGCCAGGTGCTGTGTTTGGCGGATGCCATCCTCTTCACGGAACGCTGTGAAGAAGCCATAAAAGACGGCTCCTTGAGTAACTACTACAAAGAACTACAAGTAATATCTCTTTCTCGTTCTACTGTGCACTTAAAGTTCTTTTAATATTTTAATCTTTCTTTAATTACTTCTTGGTTCGCTCATATTCTTCGTTCTACCGAGCACTGAAAGTATTTTAACCTTTTCATTACATCTTGGTTCGCTCATATTTTATCATAGATGACAATATTTTTTGGTCGAGATTAAAGATGAATTTATACATTAATTGGAGACTATCGTGACCCCGATCTGTTAGAATTTCATATGATTCGTTGCATGACACAGACGAAGCTGGAGTCGTACACGAGTGTCGACCTGACGGGTGGAGGTGACGACCAAGAGACGCAGGTGTTGGGGCTGAAGCTCAAGGCCCTCATCCTGGACACCATCCACAACATCGAGGTGGTCGAGAAGCTCGTCGCTGCCAACACCTCCTCCGTGCACGACTGGACCTGGCAGCAGCAGCTGCGGTAAGTCAGTGCCGCAACATCTCCAATTTATTCTATTGCGATTTTTTTTTTCTTTGTAATGTATAAATGGTAGTCGAAGTTCTAGATCTCAAACTTTTTTTAATAATCGTACAAGAAGTCTAACTGCACAATCGCAATTTTCAGCGCATTTTCTCATTTATGAAAAAAATGCACTATTGTGCTCGCCATGCCCGCCTGTCCGTGCGCCTGTCCGTCCGTCTGTCCGTCCGTCCGTCTGTTCGTCTGTCTGTCCGTCTGTCTGTCCGTCCTTGACTTCATGTTTTCGTCGACGAGAAAATGCGCTCTCTGTCACTCACTGCAGTGAGTACTGAGTTATATTTTTTAATAATCGTACAAGAAGTCCAACTGCACAATCGCAATTTTTTTCTGAATGTCGTAATAATTAGCCGCTGAACTTGTAAATATGCCCTTGCGTTTTTTTTTGTAGGTTCTACATGGGGCCGCAAGGCACCGCTAAGATACGCATGGTGGACGCTGAGTTCGACTACACGTACGAGTACCAGGGCAACGCCATGAAGCTCGTACACACGCCCCTCACCGACAAGTGCTACCTCACTCTCACGCAGGTCTCAGGACGCTACTGTTAAATGCCTTATAATGTATGAATTCCTCGCAATAATAAGACCGGCCACTGGTTGAGCCCTCTATTAAAAATCTGCCTTTTCGAGGTTCATCAAATCCTTTGCACCAATAACTTGCTAGTATAGTCACTCACTCTAAAAGTCGTATTATGTGATCTTAATTAGTTAAATTTTATGCGCAGTAAATCATAATCGTGAATTTCAAGTTCGATTTTGGCGTTTCTTGGCATAACCACGTTACGGATCTTTCCATGCGTGTTACTTCCTTTATGATTGCGTCCCAATACCTTTGCTGAAAATCAATTTTTTCTCTTGTTCACTACACTTGAGGTTTAATGATGGCATTTGGTGCAGGGCATGCACATGGGTCTGGGCGGGAACCCATACGGCCCGGCAGGCACGGGCAAAACAGAGTCCGTGAAGGCGCTGGGGGGCCTCTTCGGGCGCCAGGTGCTCGTCTTCAACTGCGACGAGGGCATCGACGTCAAGAGCATGGGCAGGATTTTCGTGGGTGCGTCTCACGCGGCATTTGTGGTGTTTTCGATGATCACAAACATGGAATGTGTATTTTTATGTAGTGAAATTGCCGTGTGCAGCTTAGTGAAACCTGTCATGAAGGTTATGGCAGACTTTCACTGGTATTTATTGTAACATCACTTCAACAGATCAGTGTTCATTCATGAATATCTGTATCTAACGTTTAAATATCTATAATATCTGCAATATTCTGAATTTATGACGATAAATATTTTTCTAACACCATCAAATGGAAATCTCAGAAAAAAATTATTGAGATGGACTCGTGGGTAAAAGGTTATAGGTATTAAAAGCTCTAATCGAGTTTTTATTTGAATGTACCACTCGACGACGCAGGCCTAGTGAAGTGCGGTGCCTGGGGCTGCTTCGATGAGTTCAACCGCCTGGAAGAAGCGGTGCTCTCCGCCGTGTCCATGCAGATCCAGACCATCCAGGCGGCCATTAAAGGCAGGGCTGCCACCACAACCCTGCTAGAGAAGGAGGTAACCACGAAATATCTCCGCCTCTATCAACTTCATTGTTGTAATGAATAAGAGAAAGGTTGAAGACCCAGCTTGACGCTCAGTTATTTCTGAGCAAGCTCATTGTGATCGGCTAAAAACAGTGGAGCGTTCCCAGCTTTTAATTTACGTGACTCCCTAGCTGAAAATATATTTTAATATTACCCCAAGATGCATTTCCACAGTTTATCTTACCTCGCTCTAATTCCATTTCTCCTTTTAATCATTCCTGATCCTCAATCCAGATCCCGGTGGACCTGAACTCCGGGATTTTCATCACCATGAACCCCGCCGGGAAGGGCTACGGAGGTCGCCAGAAGCTGCCCGACAACCTGAAGCAGCTCTTCCGTCCCGTCGCCATGTCGCGCCCTGACAACGACCTCATCGCTGAGGTCATCCTCTTCTCGGAGGGCTTCAAGAGCGCCAAGACCATCGGCAAGAAACTCGTAGCTGTCTTCACGCTCTCCAAGGTAATATTTATTATGATCTTGATGTTGGTGCCATAATTTTAAGTAATCGAATAAGTTTTATAAAGTAGTAAGCAAAGCCTATTAAAAGACCCATATAATTCGGAAAAGGCTTAATTGTTCCTTAATTTATATATGATTCTTAAGTTTACCAAAATATATATTATATACCAGGAGCTGCTCACTCGTCAGCAGCACTACGACTGGGGGCTACGCGCCCTCAAGACCGTCCTCAAGGGCTCGGGCAACCTCCTGCAGCAGCACAGGTAAACATTTAACCCTCTACCGCCGGACGCTTGTAACCGGAGCAATATTGTCACGCGCCTACTCCCCAAAAAGGATACGTTCTAGTGAGCACAAAATGACTTGCACTGATGGTTGCCGCCACGTACGACAACTTTAAAATGTTCTCTGTTGCGTACAAACGTCCTCAGGTTACTACAGTCAATAGTTTACGTATAATTCAAGTTGAAAGTTTACCATTAAATTGTTCTCTGTTGCGTACAAACGTCCTCAGGTTACTACACTCAATAGTTTAC